ATTTGGTTAAATTAAGTGACAATCCCATTGAGTTTGACCATTTAGAAAATCTATTATGGTCATCCTGTAATTTAAAACAGTCATCAGTCGAGCTTACACGCATAAATAGTTTGATGTCGTCGGCAAAACAAAGGAAATGACAATGATGTAAAACTTTATGTACACAGTTTAAGAATAAGGAAAATAGAATAGGGGACAAGTGACCTCCCTGGAGGACACCAGAAGACGCTAAAAATACATTAGACTTAATGCCGAATACTTTTACCCATTGGTATGGGTCACAAATATAGGAACTAATCCAAGAAAGTAGTGGTTCACCAAAACCATATTGTCTAAGAACAGTAATAAGGGTCGTATGATCCACAGAGTCAAATGCTTTACTGAAATCATTGTATATAACATCTACTTGTAATTGATTTTGGAAAGCATTAAAAATATAGTTGGTGAACACAAGATTATAGGTGGAAGATGAGCGACCCGGGCAAAAGCCATGCTGTTCTTCCATTAAAATGTTATTAACAGGTCTTTGTATTTCATTAAGTATAAGCAATTCAAATATTTTTGATATGTGGGACTGTATAGCTATAGGACAGTAATTTGAAATAAGACCAGGGGAGCCCGTCTTGAATACCGGTGTAATGGAACTAAGTTTAAGCATAGATGGGAATTATCCTTCGTCTAAGGAACGCCTAAATAAGATCCATAGAGGATATGCCAATAATTCCCTTAGTTCATATAAAAATGTAACAGATAAGCCATCTGGACCCACAAAACCAACATCTCGTAGGTTTGATAATTTATGGTAAACATCATCAACACTGAAGTATACATTGTTAGGAAGGTCAAAGGTGGGAATATCTAGTTGGTCAATTAAGACATTATTTTTCTTAGCACTGTAAACCGAAGAAAAGAAATCAGAAAATAGATTTGTAGACGTTAGCTTATCGGAAGAGCACACGTCGTTGTAGGACAGAATTTTAGGTATATTACAAGATGACCGTTTGCTATTAACATATTTCCAAAATTCATACGGTTAATCTTCGAGTAGTTTTTCAGCATTACTAATGTGTTCATGATAGCATTTTTTAGAAGTAAATTTAAATTTGACACGAAAAAATGAAAATTTTTTATAGTATGACATGTTGGAAGAGGACTTAAACAAAGCATGAGCTTCCCTTTTTTGACTCAGCACTAAACCAAGGAGGATAAGTGGGTTCATAAAATCTACATTGAGGAACAAAATCAAGAATAGATTTATGCAGAGCATCATAAAATATATTAGTAGCGGTGTTCGCATTGTGAGGGAGAAATGTGTTATACCAGTCGTAAGAAGAGATAAATTGCCGAATACTATTGTAATTAGCTCTCTTGAAATTATGGAACAGATGGCTGCGATCGAATCTAGGAAAACAGAAATTGGTGTTTAAAATTAGATTTAGTGCAGGGTGATATGCGTCAAGTGGATCACAAGATTTTTCAACACTTAACTGCTTATTAGAGCTAAAGATTAGATCCATATNGACATGTTGGAAGAGGACTTAAACAAAGCATGAGCTTCCCTTTTTTGACTCAGCACTAAACCAAGGAGGATAAGTGGGTTCATAAAATCTACATCGAGGAACAAAATCAAGAATAGATTTATGCAGAGCATCATAAAATATATTAGTAGCGGTGTTCGCATTGTGAGGGAGAAATGTGTTATACCAGTCGTAAGAAGAGATAAATTGCCGAATACTATTGTAATTAGCTCTCTTGAAATTATGGAACAGATGGCTGCGATCGAATCTAGGAAAACAGAAATTGGTGTTTAAAATTAGATTTAGTGCAGGGTGATATGCGTCAAGTGGATCACAAGATTTTTCAACACTTAACTGCTTATTAGAGCTAAAGATTAGATCCAAAATATTATTAGAGGCATTACGTATGTCATTGGATTGGAAAACCCCACTTGTTGCGAATGATTCAGACACACATGGCGCGCGAGGTGATGAGGAATAAGAATAAGATAATCCATTACTATCGTTGTCTCATGAGATCTCAGGGAGATTGTAGTCACCACAGATAATAAAAGTGTGATCAGGATACTTTGTTATCAAAGATTCAACGGCATTTATATGTGATTCATAAGTATTAGGGGGAGAATGGGGAGGCATGTAGACCCCGCCAATAATATAGTTCAAGGTACCAACAGTAAGACGAACAAAGACGTGTTCAACATTCAGTTGTTCAACTAGGATGGGGTGGGAGGGAATACCTTTGCGAATGCCAATGAGTACTTCACTACCACGATTACAATTACTAGTAAACGTACATCTGTCATATCTAAAAATATTATAGTTAAAAAGACCAAGTTCAGAATTAGAAAATTGACTAGTAAGCCAAGTTTCAGTGAGTACAATGAATAAACAATCTAAAGAAGAAACATTACAATTAAAATGAGTTAGTTTTGATCTGAGTCCACGACAGTTTTGGTAGTAACCAGACAGTGGACCATGAAAGATCGACGGTGTTATGAGTGGATGTGCAGTTGGGGTCCTCCAACTTTTGAAAAAATTTTACCTACTTTCGGCAGCCCATTTTCAAATAAAATTCGCAGGCCAGGTTCGCCTTCGTTAGTTCTTCGGACAAGCTCCAAGTGACACTCACGCAGCAATTTGCGTTGCAAATTTGTTTTATCGCTGACTATTCGAAAGCCATCAGGGTAGGAACAACCCGAGCGCCTTGCTGTGTTGTAGGCCGATAATAAGTGCATAGCGGACTGCTTATTATCGAAAATAGCTTTAATTGGGCGAGGTATATCTGCACGAGCTTTACCGATGCGAATGAGTTTTGGATTTTGTGGAACAGAATCACCAAGAGATTGAAGTATATTCTGTACCGTCAGTTTATCATGTGCAACACGCTCAGATGCGATACCAGAAGACAGATCAGGAACTCCATAAAATATTGAATTAGATTGACACTTTTCCCGTTCAAAAGTTTCTTGAAGGACTTCAATCACAACTGTTTTTGGTAGTTCCTCGGCATTATTAGATTCGAGACAAGCAATTTTTTCCTTGAGAATATCAACTTCTTTACATAACCTTACATTCTCGGCTTTCAACTCAAGCATTTGGTTGGAAATGTGGGTGAAATCCGCCTTAATATTACGATACTGTTTGTCTTGAAGTTCAAAAAGCGCTTTGTTAGAAGTCAACATTTCCTTCTTAAAGTCTTTCAATGCACCCATCAAGTCTTCATTAGATATAGGGGTAGGTACTTTACTACCAGAAGCCTTTAATGTAGCTTTAAACGGAGTATCCTGTTTTAAAGGCATAGTGATTTTTAGAGATATGAGATGTAATTGAATTGATAAACAACGATGCCTAGCGTTGAAGTCTCCAGAAGGTTTGACTAACGAGATGGGTACCACAATTATAAACAAAATAAAGCACAAATTGAATAATGGTAAAACCCAGCGTTAAAGTTGCCAAGAAAACAACTGATCAGCAGTATTAGAGAAATGTAAAATAAAATGTATGAATTTATAAAAGTGATAACGTACCAGTTTGTCAGACGAGCCGAAAAACACAAAACCATAAATATAAGAAGACCGTGATACTAGTGCACAAAAATATCCGAAACGACCTCGATTAAACACAAAAGTCTACAAACTGCGGGTAAATTAATCCACAAATTACAAAACAAATGTTAATTCCAAACAAGAGCAAATATGTACTATATCATCGATATACCATAGATGAAAATTAAATTGTCTTTAATTTATTATTCGAATGTCAAGTAAAACACCCGTCATTTATATTAAGATAATTAACTTAACGTTTATCTAAAGTGTTGAAAGGTCGCTCTGGGACCTAGGTTTCAAGTTTATTATTTATACACTCTTTTTGAATATTCCTGGTTTTATAATTAAATTCTTTATATATTTTTGTTATACTGATTCTAACGTGATATTTTTGCTGTAAAACACTCATCGTGCCCGGCGTAAGCGGGTACTCCTATACTCCCTCTTATATGCTGGTTCCTTATCATATCTTTTTTAGTCACTCCACTCATCCATCTAAGCATTCTCATCTCTGCTACTCTCATTTTGTGCTCTACTTTCTTATCAACCACCCAACACTCTGAACCAACATCATAACTACATTATACATTATTCCTACTAGAATCAGTGGCCTACTAATAAGGACGTCCCAAAGAAGCTTACGCGCCAAAAGTGCGTCAGGCTTTTAGGGTCCCGGGTCTGTACGGAACCCCATCTAGGTGGAGCTTAGTATACAAATAAATAAATGTATAAATAAACCACAGCCGAAGTTTTGAAGTAGGTTTTAACATTTAAAAAAGATATTATTTGCTCTCTCAAACAAAAAATTAGGAGAAAATTGAATTAGCACACCTACATTTTTTCAAACTCAGTCCACGAGGCTAACTTTTTGTTATCAAATATATTTTAAAACATCACTTAATCATTAAAATTGTAAAACTGTAGAAAAATATTATAATTATGAAATATTAAAGTCATTTAATATTCATTTTATATCAATTTTCTGATTTATTTTATGTATGTGTATTTTCTAAAAGGTTATAAGTAAATTATATTAATGAACAACTAATAGAAATAGTATTAAAAAATAATTAATATAATTTTACTAATATTTCATTTAGGAAAGATTGTAAATAAGTGCTTATTTAATGACAGTCAAAAATTGTCTTTCTTAAACAAATTGGTCTTTTGATAATTATTTTCTGGAGAATGGATACATTGAATGAAACTTTTTAATATTATGTTTTAAACACTATAATTTGTTTAAAGAAATGGCTTAGAAAGATATACATATATATTAATATAATTCTAGTAAATTAATAGTATTGTAAATGCATATTTCCAAGGCAATTAAGTTTTTATTTTATTTGATATAAATAAACTATTTATTTTGGATTTAAGCCTTTAGTTTTTTAGTCACGTACTTAAGTATAATTGATTGTACCTTCTTTAAGTAATGACTGATAAAAATAAAAAAGATGATATAGCTGCAAAAGATGTTTTTATACTTCTTGGAGTACCAGTACCAGATAAATTAATAGTAGACTCGTATAGGGATGAAGAAAATTATGAAAGCGATTGGTCGGAAATGGAAGGAATTAAAAAAAAAAAAGTCAAACAAAATTATGAGGACGATGAATCGCAATTCACGCCAGATGAAGACGATGCAGTTCAAGTTGAAGTATATAACTATAATTTATATATTTTGAATTGAATTATGTTTAGATTAAAATTTAAATTAAATAATAATGAATAATTTATCAATGACTAAAGTCGAATAAAAAATATGATTAAAAAATGATAAATGAATAAAAGAATTCATTAAAGTAATTTTTTTTTTAGATGATAACTGGACCACCAGTGATCGATGTTACTTGTCCGACAGAGTCAGATGATAGTTCTGGCTATAGCATAACTGAAAGTGAATATGAGGATAATCGATGGTATGATCCTTCATCAACAATTGGTTTATCAATGAGTGAATATGATACAACAAAAAAGTTACTAAAAGCAATTAGGGTAATATAAAGAATCTTTCCGATTATTCCTATTGAACCAATAATTATAATATTTCTATTATAATATACTTGATTTTTCTTAATAATAATATTTTTTTAAAGAGAGGTGACCAGACCAAAACAGTATCAGCTCTAGCAATCCTTAAGTCAAATCGTATTACTGATGAAGCATTCCAAAATATGTTTATTGCACAAAAAGGAATTGAACTATTAATTAACATTCTTGAAACTGATTATGATGAATGCATAGTAAGTAGGGAGAACTAATTAATACTTGAAAACCAAATATAAACATTAAATTCTGGACATTAATAAAATTACCTGTATAAATAATTATCAGAAAGTCACGTTGTCAATAATTCGTGATATGTCTCAATTATTTGGTACTAAGCACGCATTGTGCAATTTGGGCGCGGTTCAAGTACTAATTAATCTTTTGTCTAGTAAATCAATTGATATTCAAAACATGAGCGCTGATATTCTTACTAATATATCTCGAATAAAAAAAGGCAGGAAATTTATGCGTAAATTAGGAGGTATTCCAATGATGGTAAATTCATTTGAGCTTTATTACTATTTAGAACATAAAAATAAAAGTAATTATACAAAATATTTAAATTGTAGGTACATTTAATTCATGTACCTGATGAACTGTTATCTAATCCGTCGACTAAATTGAACACGAAACAAAAAAAATCATTAAATTTGCTGTGCACTTGTTGCAAAGCATTGCAAATAATATGCAGATCACATAAGAGCCGTGAAAACATAAGGTTTACAATTTTATTAGTTATAAATAATTTCACATAATTGAATTTCCAATAAATATTATTTTCTAAATAGATATACGGGATTCATAAAATTGTTGCCGAAACTACTAGATTCAGTGCACAGTGAAGTACAGATATCAACAATGGGTGTAATAGTTGAATGCTGTCGGAACAGGTCTAAAGAATGTTCAAACATTAATAATAATAATTACAGAACAGATATTGTTTATAAGCTTTCAGTAATGGAACTTGGGCTATTACCCAAAATCATAGGATTTTTAAAAAGTGATAATATAACACAGATTGCCGATGCCGCTGAAACTTTATTATGCCTAAGTAACGATGATCCTACTGTTAACAATATACTGTTTAAAAACAATGGATTAGATACTATCTTCAATATATTCAAAAAATATTAGTTAGTATTATCATGTTCTTAGTGTAAATATTATTACCCTACCTTTTAATTTTTAATAAATTGAGTAAAAAAATAATTTCTAACACCTCCAAAACATCTTTTACAAAAAAAAAAATTAGCAATGAACCACGTGTAATGGTTATTGTAACCGCGATATTGTGGAAGTGCTCAGTAGATCAGAAACTCAGGAATAATTTAGAAGCTAAAAATTGTGGTAAGCTTATGCTTTCGCTATTGACATACGAATACGATGATGAAGTCATTGGTAATGCAATTGGCACGTTGTCCGAATTGTGGAAATGTAAATCCATGCAAATGCAAATAATGACTACAGCTTTGCCAATTTACTTGCAGCTTTTAAGGAATAGTCAACATAATATTGTATTGTCACAAGTTTGTGTTGCCCTGGGTAGAGCTGCTGACGATCCTGGTTGTATGAAAATGATTGACGAAGCTGAAGGACTCAGATGGGTGTTCGTTCTACTTCCCTCTCGAGAAGTCGATGAATTCCACAAATATGAATACTTTTATAACACTGATGTCATTGTAGCTGCCACTGACTGTTTGATTAAATTCATAAAAAATTCTCCGGTATGTTTTTCATGTAAGTTAAGACATTTTTTTAATAATAAAAGGCTTATATATAAAATATTAATGTGTTAAGCCAAATTTAAATAAGGTCAAAGGCATGTTCCAAGCAGTCAATGATCTAGTAGATTTGTTAAAACATACAAATAAGAACGTAGTATCAGCTGTATGTCGTTTAGTAGAAGCTATCGCCATTCATAATGAGAGTTTGCGTTTCATGACTGATGCAGATGTTGTTATGAATCTAATCAATTTAATGTATCACGTATAAATATATTATTTAATTCATTTTAGTTTTTATACATTTAAAAAATTTTATTTTTCATTTAACAGAAAGATCCTATTTTGAGAGCCAATCTTTGTAGGGCATTAGGAAAATGTTGTTATTCTGGATCCAATTCAAGAGACATTGGAAAACAAAATGTTATAGAGCGTTTGTATGAATATATACTCGAAGAAGACAAATTGGTAAATGAAAGTGTCCCGTTAGCATTGTTAGGCCTATCCGAAGATCCTTTAAACTGCATAAAAATCGATACGATAGGATTTTTACCGGTAAGAAAAATATGGCGAAGGATTAAATATATTTTTTTATAATATTATATTGTAAGCCATAAAATTTTTAGTTTTTAAAATCTTCGTTGGAATCGAATAATAAAGAAACTGCTATGGCAGCTGCTAACTGCTTGAGAAATGTTAGAAAAGTATGTTCAAGTATTGGGAAATACAAAGAGTGTAAAAGAATTCAGTAAACATTTTTAATTATACTGTTATATAATTTACATTTTGGAGTATTATTAAATAAAATTAGAAAATTTTAGGTTATTGAAAAACTGGTTTAACTAGTTGCATTAGTTTTATTTATTTTTTATATTTATTGAATTTATCTTAAGTAAACGAGACCATAATATAAATTTTGTGCAAACATTTCATATTAAAAATGTTAACCTATTTTATCAATTTTTGTAAATTGATATAATATTGTAAAATTGTAATTAGTAATGTAACACTTAAGCATATTAATTAAAACTCTATTTCAATTTTATCAGACACTTATAAAATTACAATAATTTCTCGGCTGCTATGCTAGATATAATCAGAATAGGAAGGGTATTAGTTTAATTATAATATATAGCATACTTGTACTCAAAAATGAAAATTATAATAGACACTATACAACCAATTAACCATACAACTAATACTGCAATGAATTGGTGATATGTAAGAGGCGTTGGTCTCCTATTTTTTTCTGTGAAAGGTTTTTGTTCGTAGACCCGTGCAAATGTAGTAGATGGAACTTTCATATCAAAAATACGTCTTGTCCAATAACGTATAATACCACTTTCCACTAAGCGCCTTATTATCATGTTGCTTGGTTTAAGATATGGTGATCGTTTGCTAAATCCTATTCCAATATAGTATAAGTTTAAACAATCTCTAGTTGTTCGTAAGTCACTTAGTAACGAAGGAGGCAAATCTTGTGCTTCCATAAATGCTTCATTGTAGATGCATTTGGTTAGAACAGCGTATTTTCCAATGGTAACGCGATTAATGCGGTCGATTAGGTTACTTTCTGGTATAAATCTTTCAGCAAATAATACATGCCATGGATTCTGAAAGTCAAGGTTTATGAATACAACATTTAGTTTAATTTTATAATTAAAAATTAGTTATAAATAACTATATTATTAATTATAAAAATAAGTTTATTTAATAACGTTGACAATAATTTATTTTTGATTCAAAGTACCATTATTTAAATCTATCAAACAATATTTTAGGATAATCAAATGAAATTTTTTACCTCCTTCATTTGGAGTAAATGTTTAAATGGTGGATCATAAGGTAAACCCCAAGTATATCCTTCTTTTACCATTTCTTCAATACTGGTAACAATTTTAGTGTATTCTGGAGATGTGATGTATGAATATAAGGTACTAGAAAATATTGTTGCTATTATAAACATAAAAATGCACCACCAGCTTATGAGATGTCGTATGGGACCTAAACGATTAGGTCGTACAGGAAGATTAGTCATCTGCAACATACCAAATACCAAAAAAATGGTGTTTGGTAGTGACGTAAAACCTAAAACGCATACAAATGGTTTCATAATTTGATAAAAACTCAATTATTACTTATCAACTAATTATTATATATAAAAAGTTCATTTATTACTGTTTGTTTACACTAATAACTTTAAAATTATAAACATTATCATTTGATTATGGTAAAAATAAAAGTACCATTTATAGAAATGAAGACTAGCAACAAAAATTTTACTTCTTCGATGTATATTTTTAATATGTACTGATACGATCACATTTGCATGTGCCCATATCTCTGTCTCCCATACCATCGTTGTACCGTTTAATAGACATATATATATATATATATATATATAATTAACACAGTGACATACAGGAATACTAACAGGAGGGCGAACTGCACACATAAACACTTTTTGAAATTCACGGCCAATGTGCCATATTAAGATATCCCTATCGACAGTTGACATTTTACCATCTTTGCGATCACTACTTTTGCCTGATAATTAACTTAACTTCGCTACCCCGTATATTATAGTGTGTGTGTGTGTCGCCGTCAGCTCCCTGTTGGATTAATCATCTCTAGGTGTCCAGCAGGTTGTATTATCCATTTAATATTTCAATTGTTTAATAAATATTTATTTATATCGTTGTTAACCTAAAGTGTTATATATATATATATATTGTAGTGCGACCCTTGGTAGTTCCTCTAAGGGAATATAAATTAAATAGGAAACTTCAGTACCTAAGGTAGATATAGCCTAGCCAGCTATCCCCCGTTGGTCCCTTAGAATACTGTCGACGGGCATTTAGGTTAAACCCCTAAATAGCGACGTAACAGTACCATGTATCATAAGTATTTAAATGTATAATTTTTTAATAATAAGTTCTCTTTTGTACTTACTATCAACGTGCTTAAATCCTATCTTTTTTTGAAAGACAGCAATCTTCCACAATGTAAAAGTGTTAATCATGGTAGCAACGAGAAGTAATAGCCACAAACTTAACGGGAATGGTTTAAAAATCAAACCCCATTTTTTCGTTAACGGAGAAGGTTTCGACACAAGAAATTTTAAGCAAACGTATCCCCAATGATTGGATATATCGATAAATGTAAATTTATTTTGTTCGATCCACAGTGAACCTAATGCGACATCAACTATTTTATCCTGCAAATATTTAGTTGAACCAGGTGTCCAAGATCCATTAGAAGACACAAATTGGCCCCATTTGTGTTTTTTTGATGATATTAAATTTACAGTAACATTTAGACGTCTAGAGATCTCTTTGAATATACGACATTCTATACCTTCTCCCAATTCTATATTTTACAACATAAATTAATAAACAAAATAAAAGCAATGCGAGAGAGCGGGGCTAGATAACATACTTAAGGTTTACATAATTATTATTATTATATATTATAATAATATATTAATATTAATTATTATTATAAAAAAACTGTAGCATAGTGTGGACGTGGCATAGTTGGGACAAGTATAGATGATACTTATCAGTGATAATCACCTCTCTTTTGAGATTATTACTTATTAAAAAACGAGTATTTACAAATGAAAAAATTTATAGCAGCTTTAAGTACCAAAAAATAACATGACGATAGATGGTGATTTTTACACGAAAATAACATTTTTTTTTAAACAAAGGAAGTCATTTGCACATAGAAGATAGGTCGTCAGGGCGATTTTTTTTTTAATTTATAGTACATGACATAAAAATCTAACTTTTAGTATATTACATAAGCTTTAATTTAACATGTATTTAAAGGACGCAGTATTTCCGGAACATTAACAATAATTAAGTTAAAGTTTTTTGAAAAAATTCCTATTTTAAGTGTCCCTTGTGGTTAGGTAAAGAGTCAGATTTTCAACAAATTTATACCAAATGATAAGAAAATACCTAAGATAACTATATAAATAAAATGTATTTTGATTTGTTCATTTTTAAAAAAAGTTATGGCAATTTAAAGACAAAAATGTCAACATTTATCAATTTAAAAAATTGTAATTTAAGAGATTTCCTCCATTTACTAGGAACAAGGGAAATTTTTAAGGGCAATACCTTCAACTAGATACAATTTGTTATCTTTTGACGTATCGTTGAAAGAAATCGGTCTGGGGGAAGAGCGGAGTTAAAGTGACGGACATATAAAAAAAACTCATTATAGTATAATTAATACCTTCTCAACTTCGCATCGAAGCTAATATTAAACGTGAAACAAAAAATTCAATTTTGATAGTTAAATTCCAATTTTATAAGTAACTACTATTAAATAAGTTTCAGTTTTCGATAGACAGTATTTCATGATCCTTTAATTTCATAAATTACTCATTGAAATTATTTTTTAGATAGTAAAGGTAGTTCTTTAAGATACTTAAAGACCATGGGACCATAGTCAAATGTAAGAAACTGATTGAGAGGAATTTAAGATGTATATGACCAATTACACCCGAAAAAAATTTCAATATTTGATATTTTAAATTGTCCGGAGTGCGCACAATCTAATTAGGTTAAATGAGTTATAAAAATATGAAATAATAATTCAACAAAAAAAAATTACTGATAAAATCGTTTTAAAATGCGTGAAAAGATAAAATTGTGTAAGAATACAAAAAAATAACTACAAATAACTTTGAAATTTTTGTAAAAGTAAATTTTTATAAGGTGGATGACTCAAATAAGTCAATTGAAATATTTTAATCATATAAAGTTTAAGATTTTGAAAATACAATAATATCATTTATAGCGTTTTTGGTTGTTGTCACTCAAGAGAATGTTAAATTTAAAGTATATATTTTTAATTCACCTCTGATTAAAGTTACACGCGTATTTATAAAATTTTAAATGTTTCTTAAATGTCGTAAAAGGTCATATTGATTTTATTGCTATATTTTTTCGTTAAGTTTTCTAAAATTTTCAATTGTTATTAATAATGATTGATAACTTATTACATTTTACCCAAATAGTAATTAAGTAATTAGTTTTAGTAAGAAGATTGTGTTACTATATTAGTCAACTTGCCCGGCTCTGGCATATAATTATAACTTATTTTACCTATATCTTTAGTTATGCTATTTTCGTTGACAATGCTGAACAAGGAATTGTTGAATGTGAACAGTTTCATCGGAGCGCCGTAAAAATTTTTTAGTGTTTGTTTTTTAAACTTGTCCTATATGTATACAATTTTAATAAGACACGACAAATGCTATGTATTAATTAAGTATTATGTTTAATTTTAACTTTCACCTGCATTGTTTAATGTATTTATTGAAAAAGCAATAAACGTCATAAAGCTTTGGTTAAAACAAAAAGGAATTGGAGTGAAAATAGGAGGGGTACTAATAACAATGCTTCGCTTTGCTGATGATATAGTCGTTCTTACAACATCTGAGGAAGACTTACAAGCAGCGTTAAATGCAATGAATACTACGTTCAAAGAATATAGTCTGAAAATAAACGCAGCCAAGACCAATGTCCTAGTATGCTACAAGAAAGACATACCATATATAAATATAACATTAGAAAACAAAGAAATTATCCAAGTAGACTATTTCAAATACTTAGGCAGCATTATAACAGACGACGGGAAATCAACCAAGGAAATCAGGAGCAGGATAGGTCAAGCAAAGAATACATTCCTTAAAAAGAGAAAAATACTAACATCAAAAAATATGAACATAGTAACGAAGAAACGGCTCATAAAAACATACGTCTGGAGTGTGGCATTATACGGAAGTGAAACCTGGACAATTAATAAGAAAGAAAGAGATATGTTAGAAGCTCTGGAGATGTGGTGTTGGAGAAAGACGCAGAAAATAAGCTGGACTGATAAAAGATCAAATGAAGACATCCTGAGGACAATAGATGAAAAACGAACACTGATTGACATTATAAAGAGAAGGAGATGGCAGATGATAGGACACACGTTGAGACATGAAGATGAATTGCATAGTGTAATAATTGAAGGAATGATAGAGGGTACAAGATCAAGAGGAAGACCTAGAACGAGGTACATTAGCCAAATAATGCAGGATGCAGGGGTCACTTCCTACAGAGAGCTTAAAATTATGGCTAATAATAGAANTAAAAAAAAAAAAAAAAAAAAATGTTTAATTTATTATTATAACATTATCGGGAATATTCATTAAAATATTTTCCAATGACGAATATTCTTACTAACTTAATTTTATTAAATTTTACAAAATTTAAAAACAATTTTGAATTACCCGACATGTATAAAATTGTTCATTACTAAATTTATCTATTTAACTTTAGATAATTTTATTATACTGAATTAATTATATAGTCTATTTCAAATAAAATGACTAAATATCTAATTTTATGTTTTCGAATTTACAAACGTTTTAGAGTTATATTTAAATCAATCATAATTAATCAATTATCAACATATATTTTTTACTGTAAAATTTCACATGTTTGAATTGTTATAACTAAATAATAAATTTGCTTTACTTTAATTAAAATCTATTATGAACGTCCAAATTAAGAATGTCTCATTATTAGTTTTTGTTATATTATATTAAAACTTTAAGAATGAAGTACTAGCATGCGGGAGTAGCAATTATTTAACATTTATTGATTTTAATGATTCGTAACTTATTTTTAAAACCAACTAAAATTGTATACTATATTGAAATTGGCAAACTAATGAATAAATACAGAGTATACATTAACACTTGTATAAATGTACTCTACTTACAAGTTGGATCCATCTTTCTTGGTGTTTAAAAGCTCTAATAAATTTATGATGTTCTAAATCCATACGAAAAATTGTTTCTTTTTTCGGTTCTACGACTGCTATAACCACATCTTTGTAATCGAAATATTTAGGCGTATACTTGAAACATATACAAATTTTATAATTTTTAATACTTATATTTTATTAATACGAGTATTTAATTCAACTTGAGTCAAAACAGTGGCGTACGCAAGATTTTTTAAAGGGGGGCTAAGCTTATCACATACTCTAACTAGCGCCTAAGATATACACTGTTATAATTGAGCAAGGGGGGGGCTATAGCCCATTATAGTTAATTTGGACGATATTAAGTCAATATATAAATGGTCTACTTTAAATTTTTTCTTGAATAGGACATTATAAGAAAATGTTTTTTCCCCTCATAATAATAAAATAAACATATATCTTTAACAATAATTTTCATTATGAGTGGAGACCCTTGTGCTCTCTCTAGGCTTGTCCTTACTCTTAATTAATTATATGATATATTAAAAATAACATAAAATTATTATCAATGTATGGATAGAAAAGTATTTGATACATTGTCAAAAAAAGTCGATTGCTTGACAAATCTCATACTCTTCTGGTAAAAATTAAAGGGTTCATTTCAAATACCGATTATCGTCATTTTTTAAAATTATTAGGACACAAAAAACTAAATAGTTATAGTTTTAACCACTTTTTTGTGTCTCTATGATATTAGCTTTTCTAGTAATCAGAAATGTCTAACAATCATACCAAACCATCAAAAAAATGATACGCTATTAAATAATATAAAAAGTGAGTTTCAAATAAAAGTGTAAATAACAGATTATTGCTTAAGTCCTATAATTTTTATATTATAAATAAAAATATATTGATTGCAAATTGACAATAATTTCATGATTAAAATGAATATAAAAAGTTTCCTAAATATCCAAGTAATTTACAACATACTTTACTTAATTGAATTGCTTTGCGCTTTGAGGTATTTAAAATAACCATAAGCAACATTTGTTCTGCTGTACTCCTCTGAAATTCGTCTAATGCCCATTTTACAATTCTTAGACGTTTAACGATAACTACTACTGCTCCACAAAGACTTTCGAAATGAATATTTTCTTTTGAGGTCGTTTCATTGCCAATAATCATCAATTCAATAGTTTTAGGCGAAGAAAAATTATTCAGTGTTATCTGGTACAATGACGGTAGTAATGTGGTAGTCTTTGTTATAGCATCATCTACTATTGCTTGTATACATTTCTGCTTAGGATCAAATGTTTTATTTAGGTACGTTGACAACATGTTAGTTTCTTCTATAACTGATTTTGTTTTAAAATTGATCGTTAGACTATTTTGAGCTAAGTGAATCTCTTTAAAAAGAATAACTATTACGACGAATGTATACATTATTATTTCCTTGGATTTTGCAAACAAATAATTATGTTTCAATTTTTTAAATATGATCTATGAACCTAAACATTTCCTCTATTAAATACCAAAATAGTGGTAAATAAAATATATCACTAATAATTTTTCTTTAAATAATCGAGTGAATACGTTTGAGACCATTTGTAAATGTATAAAAAAGTTATACTGTGTATTATGCCTAATAATATGAGTATATCAATCACAATAAACATGAAGGTATAATTATAATAAAGTAGTTTTTACAATACATATGTATTGTAAAAACGAATTCATATTATGTAAGTATGAAAAAGCTATGTTGAACACATAAAATCCTTATACTATACTTTTTTATTGGTTACTTCTATTTTGAATGGAGGTGAATAAAATAAGCAATTGTCAGAACATATACTGTAAAAGAACATTCATCAGATACTCTTGATGTATTATTCATACATTGATGCAAATTAAAACGTATTTCAAATAGTGTTATTTTCATAAATTTATTATGACTAGTTAGGGCAGGAAAATTACACTTTAATGGGATAATAATTTTGACTATTTTTTATGTATAATTCAACATCATAGAAAGAGAGTTTAAGTTTTTAATTCCTCATCTTTTTTTATACAACGATAGGATGAATGATAGAAGGTGATTTTGGTTAGCCTATTTTTATAATTTTTAATTTTAATTACAAATTTTTCACTCGAATAAAAGTGCTTTTATACTATACCATAATATATAGTACTTTTATACAATTAAAATGAAAAATGTATAAAATACAATATTGTAGATAATAAAATTAATAAAACAACTAATAAGATACACTACTATTTTATCTAATCCAATTGTTTTTAACTATTTAATTATTCTATACAAGTTATTAGTGTACCATTTTTAGATAGTTATATACCAGTAAGTTTCAATTACTCGCCATGCTATCAGTATGAGTATAATTAAAACTTCTGGTTGATAGCAAAGATAAAGTCATCAATGATGATAGAAATCAATTACATTATAATGATTTACAGATTTTCATCTATTCTCACGAAAACAACAAATAGAGGAGGTATTTTCATAATCTCCTTTAAGACAAGCAAATATTTTACTTAACATCCGTGGTTTGTAGTGTTTTATTTCGTTTTTGAGGAAAGTAAATCATCATGGACAAAAGTAATATATTCATTTAATTTTATTAAAGTTATTATGGAGTTTCGATGTTATTTTGAATTTATGTTCGATCAGTTCATCAGACACTGAAAAAATCAATGAAATCATTTGTAGTGACAAAATATTATTTTATATGGAATAATATAAATTTAGGTGTTAATTATTTTTATTGCCTCTATCTGTTTGAACTAGAAGAAATACTAATTATCTAATATTGCTTGCTTATTTACTCTGTTTCAAATTCAGTTTTCCAAGTAGATCAATAATGGTATGATAAATTTATTTACGTATACATAGTTTTGATCACTATATTTATTTTGAAACTTATATTTAATCAGTAAATATATATGTATATAAATATATTAGAGTGTCCAACCAAGTTTTACTATTTTTAACATTAATTTATATAATCAAATTATTAAGTTACAATGGGATACGATGTATATATTAAAAAAAAATTTTTTTTTTAATATAACGAAAATTGAATAATTTTAAAAATGTAATGACTAAAAATTAATATTAATATACTTTCAACATATAATAAAAAAATTACTTTCAACACTTTATTGTAGATGACTTTGTCGTGGCTACGTTGTAAATTATAAAATAGTTTACATTCCCTTACCCATTTCTTAGCAATCTCCTAAGAAGAAAAATGGAAAGGATAGCCCATAAAACCACTTAAAATATGGACTGTATTTGTGTAACCTTAAAGATGTTACTATTTAAAAAAATTAATATCCTAAGGCTTTTCTTTAAAATATAAAAATTTCAAACTAATTTTTTGTGACATTCAGGAATATTGAGTAGGAGTTCAAAAATGTTTTTAATGTTTATATATATATACTTTTACTGTTTATTTAGTATAAACAAGTAAATTAATTATAGAATATAATTATATATTTAACTGTAATTAAATTGAAGAGGGAAAGCTATTCTATAAAATTTATTTAATCCTAATATTTTAAACTTATATTTAGTCAAATTTTAAAATGTATTAGATAAAAAAAAAAATGACACTAATTTCTGTTAATATTAATCATAAAAATGTAACTTAAAATTCTAGTTCTGAACATTCAAGAACCAATATCAATTTATAAACTAAAGTAAACAATTTAGGACTTTTAATAGTTATTTTTGAATTTCATCATTTTTTAAAAGTAATTTTTTGATTTTTTTGTATAAAAATCTTATTTAAAATTCAAGAACCATAGTAACATCTCCTTAGAGTAGATTTAGTGTGAATAAAGATTAAGGTTCTTTGTACTTTAGTTATTAATTATCAGAAATTTTTAATTTTCTAAACTCAAGCACTGCCTAATTGTAATAAAATGACTATAATTACTTTGTTATTTTGATAATTAACCTAACCTTTTATTTTCATATAAGGATTATTTTACTATAATGTTGTACAATTAATTTTAAGGAAATAGAAAATATGTATTATTTTGATGTTGAAGGTCATCCAGTCTCAAATGTAATAACTGAAGAAAACCATAAGTTTGTATTAGATAAAAGAGCTCTCAAAAAAATTTATCTCCAACATGATGTCAAAGACAGAAATATTGTTGTTATATCTATTGTTGGTACTTCTTTTACTTTCTGTAAAAGAAAATCATTTTTACTAGATTTATTTCTTAGATACATTAAGACTTTTATGAGTTATTTAAAGTCTTATATATTATGATAAAACTAACTTAAATGTTAAATTCTTATTACTTTTAGTACTATTTAAATTTGACTCAAGAAGTTAACAATTGGATTGGTTTTGATAATATGACATTAGAAGAATTTTCTTTGAAAGTTGGTCTAGAAAGAAATACTTATGAAATTCGGTTGTGGTCAGAAATATTTAAAAAAAACTCTAAATTATGTTGAAAATATTGCAATTTTACTCCTTGATACACAGGGGACATTTGATAGCAATATTACAATAAAAGATTGTGCTACTCTATTTGTTTTAAGTACCATTTTAAGTTCTATACAAATTTATAATTTATCACAAAATATTCAAAAATATAAGCTTGAACATTTACAAGTATTGTTAGCTTCGATGCGAAGCTGAGAAGGTATTAATTTTACTATGATGTGTTTTTTTTTTTTTTACTACAATTTTAATTCAAAATTTGTATTTATTTTGATAACTATATTTCAGATATTCACAGAGTATCGGTGTTTAGCACTTGAGGATACTACTAAAAAACTATTCCACATTTTACAAATTCTTATTAGGAAGTGGAGTTTCCCTTCTGAAGCTGAAGGAGAACAACAAATCTTGCAAAAGAGACTTCAGTTAAGAGATACAGATAATCTGGAAATCAAGTCACATAAATGACATGTTCAATCTTGTTTTTCTGTAATAAGTTGTTGTATAATATACCATCATAGAATAAAAAACCCAGCACAGGGGGGTCGCGGCACAGTGGTGACGTGGCATAGTTGGATCAAGTATAATGATATCTGACAGTGATTAAAATCACTATCAAAAAAAAACGCTTCGATGCAAATCTTTAGATAGTGTTTAATTTTAAAAAATTGGTGGATTATTCCAAAAGCTTCATAAACTGCTAGTTCCTTATTAATATCCTGATTAAGATAAAGTATGTCGAATGAAAAAGGGATTATTAAAAAATAGTATTTCCCATAAAAAAATTATATTGATCAATACACTTTTCAATAAGTTATAGCATTATAATGTTAAAAATGTAAAAAATAAAATTGAGAATTTTCACACAATAATAGCATTTGGTAGCCATTTTCACCTTGAAGATAAAATAAAGTCCGAAATTTTTTTTTTCCATGATAAAGTATATTACATTAGCTTTAATTTAAGATATATATAAAAGTGTCAGACTTTCCGGAACACTTTCAAAATTTAAGTTGAAAAAGTCAATTTTTTGTGAAAAAGTTGTCATTTTGAATCCCCCCCTGTAGGCAGGTAAAAAGTCAGATTTATAAAAAAAATATACCAAATGATAGGTAAAGACATCATGCATCTACAAAAAAAAGAATTATATTGATCCATACATCTTTCGAGAAGTTATAGCATTATAAAGTTAAAAATATAAAAAAGAATTTTTTTACAAAAATCGTATTTTTTTTATTAAGTTTAATGTCTGTTTTCACCATGAAGATAAAATAAAGTCCGAAATTTTTTTTTACCATTATAAAGTATATTACATTAGCTTTAATTTAAGATATATATAAAAGTGTCAGACCTTCCGGAACACTTTCAAAAGTTACGTTGAAAAAGTTCTACTTTCTATATGCATTTTTATGTTTTGAATCCCCCCTGTATTTAGGGAAATGGTCCGATTTAAAAAAACAGTATGTCGAATGAAAGATCTATATAAATACTACTTCTCATAAAAAAATTGTAATGATTCATACATTTTTCAAAAAGTTATAGCATAATAAAGTTAAAAATGGAAAATACAAAATCGAAAATTTTCACACAAAAATAGCATTCGGTAGCCATTTTCACCATGAAGATAAGATAAAGTCCGAAATTTTTTTTTTTCATGATAAAGCATATTACATTAGCTTTAATTTAAGATATATATAAAAGTGTCAGACCTTCCGGAACATTTTCAAAATTTAAGTTAAAAAAATTAATTTTTTGTGAAAAAGTTGTCATTTTAAATCCCCCCTTGTGGGCAGGTTAAGGGTTAAATTTATGAAAAAAATATACCAAATGAAAGGTAATGATATTATGCATCTATATAAAAAAGAATTATATTGATATGTTTATTTTTGAAAAAGTTATGGCACTTTTAAGTAAAAAAAATTGAAAAAATTTCGAAAATTAGCGATTTTTAAATTTGTAATTTTTTTGGAGGTTTCCCCCTTTTACGGGGAACGAGGGAATTTTTTTCAATTTTTAAGGGTAATGTCTTCGACTAGATACGATTTGTGATCTTTTGACGTATCATTGAAAGAAATCGGTTCGGTGAGAGCTGAGAAAAAGTGGTAACAGAAAAAAAAAAAAAAAAAAAAAAAAAAAAAAACACATCTTAGTAAAACCAATACCTTCTCAGCTTCGCATCGAAGCTAAAATAGCAATTAACTTCGATAAAAAACTTTTTAGTATATAGGCATTAATTTAATGTAAATTAAAAAAAGAAACTAACAATTTTTTTTTTTTAGAAATTGAAGCTGAGTTTAAACCAAATCTAAAAATGTTGATATCCAAGCCTGAAAATTTAATACTAAAAAAAATTGTTGATAAAAAATTAGGAGCTTAAAAGTCAATTTATTACTTCAAATCTTACATGAATATTTTTACTGGAGTTGAATTGCTGAAACCTAAATCTATACTTATTGAAATTATTAAAATATTTATCATGAATCATGAACATACCCAAGAATTTGGTAGGGTGATAGCAAAGTTTATTGTACTTCTTTCTATATAAAAAAAAATTATATATATATAATTTTAAGGGGAAAGTTAATTTATGACAATAAAAATTGTATCCAAGTTGTGCCTATGCTGAGGAAAATTTCCACTTATTGAAAATTGATTTCACATCATTGGCATAACCATCTGAAGGATAGGAGTTTAGCCCTATACAAATATCCATGTTTATTTATTTATTTCTTTAGCCCTCTATTCTATGTGTGTGTGTATGTATATTATGATTATGAAATTTATTTTACTAAATTTTATTGATTAGGCCATTGCAGAGGTCGGCAATTTGTCTGCTTTAGCTTCAACCCGAAGATTGTATCAACAATGGATGGAAATTAATTATGATGATAACAAGACATATTTAATATATGATTATATTGAAGCCAAACATTTAAAAATAAAAGAGATAGTGTTTGAACAGTTTATGAAGTATAAAATAATGGGTATAAATAAATATTCTGAAATGTTTAAAGAAAAAATAGAAAAAGTATTAATTTTTATATTATTTTTATTTTATTAAAAATATTATATCTTTATTTATTTTTTTTTTTTGTTCTGAACATTAATTTTTAGAACTTTGAGAATAAATACTTACAATTCAAATCTTATAATGAACACAAAAATATATTTAAATCTTTGCGCACAATAGCTGTATATTATTTAATTTCTGTTATATTTTATATTATTACTGGAGTGTTTAACTTCATGGGTGCATATTCAATTACTAGATTTACAAATCTATGTACAGGCATGGCAATGTTTCTGCTTTTACTATGGTTTTATATAAAGTATTCTGGTGATTATATTGAAATTGGTCAAATTATTGATATGATTGCCTGTATAATTCTAGATGATGTAATATTTTTTTATTTATTGTTTACCAAAATTTAATGTTTTAATTAATATTTAGTTTATGAAACCATGTTATATGCTTTAAAAAAAACAAATGATAACAGTTTCCAATAAAGTATCAAGTATAGTAATGAAAAATCCACTTCTATGTCATTAAATGTAATCTTATTCAAAAATTGTAGTCACTCAGAATGAACTTATGACAAATAAAAAAAAATTTCTAAATCAATCTTTATAATTCAATAGCTCGAATTATACAATTAAAAGACAAACATTTTTCTTTACTATTTTATGACATTTATATTAATGAATATTCCTAATTGCTATCAGTGATTTTATTTTTATTAAAATATTATTACAATCATTGAAAGAATTTTTATTCATATAACTTTAAAAACTATTTGTAATTTTTAATATAATTTTTATGTATCATTGTTTCAATTTATATACTCGTTCATATTGTATTATAAAAAATATAGTAATCCTTAATTTTTTATTTTATCCTATGCGCAAGTAAAATGTTAAAAATTGTATACACATTATTTCATTTTTTACGCGAATTTTAATACAAATCCTTTGATCAATTTTTATAACAAACAAAATTCGCCGATCTCATAAAAACAGGTTTAATTTTAGTAACTAACACTGACAAAGTAAAAAGTGAATCCAGCTAAACATTTTATTACACTTTAGGGACATGTGTACCAATATTATGAAAAAAAAATTTGGTAATCGGACTCTCCAAACATGAAATTTAAAAATTCCCATTATTTTCTGAAGACATCTCGTATATACCAAAAGATAGGTAATTATCCCGTGATGCATGTTGTTTGCTGACGATACAGTGTTAATAGGAGAAAATAGGGAGGAAATTAATCAAAGGCTAGAGGTGTGGAGATCAGCTTTTGAAGAAAAGGTTTTAAGAATAAGTAAGAGTAAGACAGAGTATATAGAGTACGAGTTTGATAAAGGAGAACACGAAGTATATGAAATGAGGAGACCAGTGACAATCGCCGATGACGTGATTGGAGAGGTGGAGAGTTTTAAATATTTAGGATCAGGTGTGCAAAAGAGCGGTGGTATTGACGAGGATGTAAGACCAGTATTAATTGCGGGTGGTTGAAGTGAAGAGAAGCGTATGGTACCTTATGCGATAAAAAAACTCCAATGAGGCTGAAAGTTTCACAAGACTGTAGTGAGACCAGCTATGATGTATGTTTTAGAGTGTTGGGTGGTTGATAAGAAAGTAGAGCAGAAAATGAGTGTAGCAGAGAAGAGAATGCTTAGATGGATAAGTGGAATAATTAGAGAAGATAGTATAAGAAATGAGCATATAAGAGGGAGTATGGGTATAGCATCAATCGTGGATAAGATGAGAGAAAATAGACTTAGATGGTTTGGTCATGTTATGAGAAGAAAAGAATCGGAAGCCGTAAAAATGAATGTTGAAGGAAGAAGAGGTAGAGGAAGACCAAAAAGATGGAGAGATGTTATTGAATGTGATATGAGGACAGCTGATGTGAGCGTAGAGGATATGGAAGATCGTGTCAAGGGAAAGTTTAGGATAATGGTGGTCGACCCCAAATAGTTGAGATTAAGGCGACGAAAAATAAAGAAAAAATAGGTAACTAGGTAAGGTATCTATAAAAAAAATCATTTTGATCCAAACAGTTTTTAAAATCTTATTTTTTTGGTGGGATTTCCTTCATTTACAGGGAAAGAAAGAATTTTTTCGATTTTTGAGGACGACGTCTTCGACTAGATACAATATGCGATTTTCTGACGTATTGTTGAAAGAAATCGGTTCTGTGAAAACTAAGAAAAAATGGTAACAGACAAAAAGAAAAAACGTTATAGTAAAATTAATACCTTCTCAGCTTTGCATCAAAGCTAATATTTAAGACCATACGAGACTACCTAACGTTCAGGAGCTTTGGAAGGCAACACAACGTACTGTCTTGCAACTTAAGTGGAACCGCCAACGCGCATGACATTGACTAAAAAATTGCTATTAATGTATGCCCTCGAGAAAGAAAATTAAAGGTTATAACGGAAGACGTTTATAAAAAAGTCTACCGGAAAAAGCAACAGTTTGTATTATGTGCTCGTGACTGATTCGATATGATGCAATGGACAAGAGATAATACTTAGATTCTAAACATTAAGGCCACAACTAAATTTCAAAACTTAAGATTCAATAGATTACATCGTATTGTAAAATGAAACTAGAAGATCTTGGCAACCATGCATCAGTCTCTGGTGTATTTAAGCATTATAATAAATAATAAAATATTAGACAATTACAGTAATGTAATTTTTTGAATTACTAGGAACGGTTGTGCCAATGAGGAAAAGGTGATAGATGATTCTCAACACAGTGAAAAAGTCATGGTTTTATATGTTTTAAAACTGAATGTTTAATATCTATTAAATGCTTTATGGCAAATTAGTTTTATGTCAATAATTTATTGACTAAGATAGTAGTGAGATATTTCTACAGAATTAATTTTGAAATATTCGATCCATAATGAAGCAAGGGCAATGTCGACCACTTTAGTTTGTAATCTTCTTGTTGCCCCTAGTGTGTAAGACCCATTTGGTAATCTTATGCCCCACTTATCAGAATTATTTATTGGTACAATTACTTCAATTTTTATGTTTATAAGTCGAGATATTTCATTAAACAGGTAACCTTCAACGCCGTCAATCAATTATAAAAAATAATCATTAAAATATATTAAACGTTTATATTTGATAATCATAATTTGTAATTATTTTACCTAAGTTAACAAATTAGTTTTATGTCTATGTATAATTTATTTATTGATTATAGTAAAAATAGAAAATAAAATTATTACAATAATAAAACTTTATAGTGGAACGAAAAAAAACATACTTGCTTACCGAACAACAAAACGACGATGTCTAAAATAATTATAAATTAACAATAAATGTTAATAATAAAAATAATTTTACCATTACGGTATATAAATAAAAGATTAATAACTTTTAGCAACAAGATGGAAAAGGAAGAAGCAAGAAGGTAATTGCACAGTATGCACATTGTTCTCATGCTCCTTAATATTTTTATTAACATAAATTAAGTTTCACTTCCATGAAAAAGTTTTGGAATTTTTTCACTATTACGAGACAATATTTTTTTTTTTTTATCTTTAACACAAACCTTTCCATATTTTAATTCAAAAATAAAAGTTGTACTTGACAAAATGCAACCGATTAACCATACAACTATAACAACTTTGTATTGATCAAAAGTGAGTGGCGATGGGCCACTATCCTTTTCGGCTAATGGTTTTTGTTCGAAAATTCGATCAAATGTATTTAAGGGCAGTTTTTTTTCAAAAATTCGATTCATCCAATAGTTAATGATACCACTTTCTAATAAATGTCGTATTACTATGTTAGCCGGTTTTAAAAACGGAGAATTTTTTGTAAAACCTATTCCAATATAAAACGAGTTCAAACATTCTCTTGATGTTCTTAAATCACTCAGCAGATATGGTGGTAAATCTTGCATCTCCATAAAATATTTTCCGTTAATAAATTTAGTGCAAACCGCATATTTTCCATTTACCAATCGATCAATACGTTCAGCTATACTTTTTTCCGGTATAAATCTAACACTGAATTTCTTATGTATTGGATTCTATAACATCAAAAATAAAAAGCCTTATTATAAATCATATTTTATAAATTCTGAATCTAGTGGTGATAAATATTAGCACATAAAAAAAATATAAAATTTTGCATTTAGAAGAATTAGTAAAAGTTTACTTATGTAGATAGGTACATGAGTGTACCAAAGTTCAGAACTAGTAATTGTACATTAATGGTTTTAGGAATTAATTTGGCAATTTTTTTTTAAATTAAAAAAAAAAATTGTGTAAAATCTTGTTGTAAAAAAACTCTATAAAAAAAAGATTAATTTGTTATTACGATTACAGCTAACTTTCTAAGTCCTATAAGGTAAACAAGAAGGTTAACGGACCAGAGGGATCATTAATTATAGTGACTTAGCTCATTTAAAAAAATATTTGTATCGCTCTATAGAAAGAATTGATGAGCATAACTTGATTTTATAAACCGTTTTACACTTATCATAGTAGCGCTTATCGACAATGGCCGAAGGAGCAATTACCCCTTGTCTTCGTGACCAGTCGGTCCCTGCTCAGGAGTTTATCCACCGATAAAATATAATATTATATAAAAATATTTTTCGGATCAAAAAGATCTTTCAACAAATTGTTTATGTTCTATTTTAAGTTTTATAGTCTCAGAGCAAAATAAATGTGTAAATCTCAAGTTTCATTTATCTTACTTCTATTTTCAAAACAAATGTCCAAGTCGCGTGGTCGATAAGTCCACCCCAAGTATAATCTTCCTTCTCCATTTCTTCAATACTTGTCGCAAGATTAGTATATTCAGGTGAAGTAATGTAAGAATAAAGAACACTAGAAAATGCTATTGCAATTATAAATATAAAGATACACCACCAGTTTAGCAAATGTCTTATTGGACCTAATCTATGAGTATGCACAGGAAAACTTGCCAAAAACATGATTCCCAATAACCAAAATATTGAAGATGATAGTGAAGTAAAAGCTATTAAAAAAACACAATGAAACTCAATATTAGTAATACGAACAAAATTGTTATTTTAGTAAAAGGGCTAACTTAATTTAAACTATCTATTTTTATAGAAAGTAGTAGATAGTCACTCCGTTACCGGAAAACGAAAGTATATGTAAAGAATATTTATTAAAAAATTACGATAAAGTCTTCCCAATAGGTTACAGTAAATTTTGCGTCTGTGATCAGTCGTTGAAAAAATTAATAAATGTACTTTATTTTATCACAAAAGATTAAAGTTATATACGTACAATCAAAAAAAAAGTTTGGTAAACACTATTAATTGAATATTAATGTTACTTTTCAACCTTTGTATAATACAATTAAATAAAGTATTTTTTTGAGAATTATTATAATGATTTATTATAATTTTTTCAGCGTCTCATTATTATAGAACATTTTGAACTGTCCAAAACTGCAAAAACTAAAAAATCAAATTTTCTAGTAATGATTCTACACAATTTTAATGTTACTTTTAATGTAAAATTCAATTTTAAAAAAATTTAGAAAATTACTTAGTTATATTGAATTGAATTTGTAAACGTTTAATGTTGAATAATGAAACTTCAACTTAGAAAAATAAAAACTTAAAATTAAAATTTTTTGAGTTATTGCAGTTTAAAACTGGTGCGTTGATTTAATTAACGTTAATTCAATAAAAATATTCTCATATATGAATATTTATTCAAGGATTAAAGAAATAATGATATTAAAATAACACTGAATTGATATTTGATTTCTCTAGGGAATATAAAAGACTAGGGGTTGTTACACCACTCAAATTTTAATGTGTTTTAATTTATACAATAATGTACTACGTATTGTATTTTATGGGTTATTACAAATAGTACGAGTTTTACTATTTTAATTTACCATCACTCTTTTACTCAAGTGATAATTTTGAACATTTTTTTATTTCTCGTTGAAATTCTGCTATCATTATGTAGTAAATAGCTTAGGAAGTATTGAATTACGTCGATTTTAGTATAATATAAGCTTTACAACAATAGTAAGCAATTTTTGAACTCTTAAACAATAAAATAATTCCATATAAAAGGGAAATGCGAGGTAAGCAAATTAATAATGATGGTAAAAAGAATATAAAAGAGAAACATGAAAAGTATAGAGGGACTGGTCGGTACTGGACGTTTTGTCGAAGAAACGTCGAGTTACGGGTTAGGTCGTTGGTGTGCGAGTAATATTAATCAATAATAATTTTACCTATTAACTTACCGTCAATGTGCTTATATTTTATTTTTCGTTGTATAACAGCAACTATCCATAAGGTTAAAATATTTAACAACGTAACTGCGAATAATAGTAACCATATACTCAATGGAAACGGCTTGAATAATAAATCCCATTTGTTTCTTGTTAACGGAGGTTTTGGTACAAGTAGTTTTAAACATTCCTCCGACCAGTAGTGAGACATTTCTACAGAATTAATTTTGAAATATTCGATCCATAATGAAGCAAGGGCAATGTCGACCACTTTAGTTTGTAATCTTCTTGTTGCCCCTAGTGTGTAAGACCCATTTGGTAATCTTATGCCCCACTTATCAGAATTATTTATTGGTACAATTACTTCAATTTTTATGTTTGTAAGTCGAGATATTTCATTAAACAAGTAACCTTCAACGCCGTCAATCAATTCTAAAAAATAATCATTAAAATATATTAAACGTTTATATTTGATAATCATAATTTATAATTTCTTACCTAAGTTTCCAGTAATTGGATTTTTATCGACGGTATTGAATAAACTATTATTAAATGCAAATACTTTTACTTTAGCACCATGGAAATTTTTTATTTTTCTTTCTCCATTAAGTTTCTGTATATTAATTATCACAAATACGTTTTTTTAATGGCTTAACTTTATTTTTTAAATATTTAGATTGAAAATTCATATTTGCAATTTTATCGATTAAAAAAGTATAAATATTATTCTCTCTTACTAAAATGTCGAAAAAATGTAATTAAATTAAAGAAATAATATTAACTCACATAATTAAACCAATTTTCTTGTTTCAAAGAAAATTTTATGAGATTTTTATAATACAAATCCAATCGATATGCCGTTTCTTTTTCCCAATCAACTATAACCATAATGAGATCTTTATACTTGAAATACTCAGGGGTGTACTAAAAAAATATGAATGTTATATTGAATTATTGTTCTTACGGCTTTAAAAAAATTACTTTTTTTAAATATCTATAATGTGCCTCTCAAACGTTATATTTTATAAATATATTTTCAGAATACATATATATACTAAGGAATTTTCTGTGATGTTTTATCACGTTACCAAAGATATGTATTTATGTAAATAGGAGTACGTAAAGGTGTGCACCTGGATAAGCGTTTTTTGTGAAATGTGATATTTTATCTAGATATTGAAATTTTAGTATTATAACTCTGAGACCCTAATTAATATTATTGTAATATTTGAAGTTATTTAATAATATGTACATTTTTGACAATTTCCTAATAATATTACATTTTTTTTAATTTTTGTTATTTTGTCCTCAAAATTATTATTTTATAAAAATGTATTTTTAAATAACTATTTTCACATACAATTTAAACTAGTTATAGATAAAATAACCATTTATTTTTTATTAGTGAAGTGTTAAATTTTAAAACATTAATATACTTTTATCATTTATTCCTGTATACAATGAAATTATTTAAAAATACATGTACATAGTATTGATATTATTCATTGTAATACTTTGTAAATATAAGTACTTTAATATTATTACTATATTAAATTCACTAACAATTTAAAAAAAAGATCGTTGAATTATAATTAAGTTATAAATATAACCTAATATAGTTATATAAAAAGTTTACTAGTAAACCTAGCGATAACCTTTCTAATAATATACTAACAAGGTCTAACCCAAAGATGGAAATAATTTCACAGCTATTCCTATCATTTATGAAAATGATAAAATTAATAGCATTCACCGTTTTTTTTAATGAAAATTTCGTAGAACGTAAAATAACCAGTAACATCCTTTCGGCCTCATTGTGTCTAAACTCTTCTACGGCGTCCTCCACTTCAACTTCACTTTTAACAATAACCACAAGAGCTGCACAAAATTGTTCATTTTCTTTATGTTTAAATTTATTCGTTGAGTTGATAACTGTAATCATTAGTGTGCTTTTAACAAAACTATCGGTAAGAGTTTTATATAAAATATTAGTTTCTAAAGATACACTCGAATTTTTTTTGTTGATAATTGTCCACAAACAATGCTGTTCCGGTCCAAATGTTTTATTTATATAGCCGGATAACATATCAACAGTTAGCTGTGGTGATGTTTCCTTCAAAGCTGAGTTGAATTTATAGCTGTGGTAAACATATATTGATTTTGTAAACAAGAATATTACCATCCAAATTTTGCTCTTCATTGTAAACTTATCCTATCATTCAATAAATTGCTTCTACTGTGTTCACCACAAGAAAAGCAAACGTAGCATATTTCTTTAAAAGTTTTAATCACTTTAAAATACAAACCCTAGACATTTATTACAGAATAAACATACCAACAAATAGTGTTTTATAAATTAAATGTTTTTCTCGACAAATTAATCATCCTGAGTCAATAATGTGTATTGTTGAGTATTGACAGAGGTTAAATTATATTAAAAACTACTTGAACTTGAGGTAAAATAATCTAGAAATAACATCAATTTAAATTATTTTTGTTAATATAAATTTCCAAGCAGAAACAGTATATTACATTTACCATACTTACTCATTCTTAAGGACTATTTTCCATATTTCCCAACAATATCATTTGTATTCAATATTAAATACAGTTGTATAAAAATGTAATGTGTGTTTTCAATTTCACAGTCTTACAAAGTATGGTCATGGTCCATCAATTCTAACAAATGCCGCAATAGAATTATAAATTTGACCAAAGGGATTGATATTCATTTTATTGTATATTTTTCTTAAAATATTGCTCTTTTCTTAAAATATAATTAAACTTAACTTTATTATCTTTTAAGTTTCTACAAAAACTGTAATAGCGATTTTAAATAAAAATTCAATATTTTGTTGTTAAAATAAAAAGAAACCCAGCATAATGGGATCACGGAATAGTGAAGACGTACCATAGTTTGGACAGGTATCTGTCAGTGATTAAAATCACTATCATAAAAAACGTTGTAAAAACGGGTTATATGGAGTACCTATTTACTTATATAATTCAGATGTTTAATATATTCTTATATGGGTATAATAATATACCTAATGTGTTTATAAAAAAAAATTGTTTTAACTCATTCATTTTAAAAAAAAGTTATAACAGTTTTAAGTAAAAAATATTTTAAAAATCGTAATTTTTAGGAGAATTTAACGTATTTACGAGGAATGAGGGGAAATGTTTCAATTTTTAAGGGTAATATCTTCAACTAGATACGATTTTTGATCCTTTAACAAAAAAACGGTCAAGCTGAGAAAAGTAGTAATAGACAAAAAACTTAAACACTTCATGGTAAAATTAATACTTCTTCAACTTCACATCCAAGCTATAAAATATATATTTTTTTATTTTTACGATTTCTAAATTTTGTTTTAACTATCTATGATATGTTAAGTTAAACTTATAATAGTTCTGTAAGAACATTTATTACTATGTTCCTACCACTTATATTGCATACGTTTTATTTCAATTTACTTAATTCGTAATACATATTGATTAGCATAGAGGGAGATGATGTGTCAATTCTACTCATCTGTAGCCCGGAGCTACTGACGTCGAACTAACAAAGGGCAGTTGTGTTTGAGTGCCCGTCTAATTTTATTTAATAATCTATCCCCTGTAACTAAGGTACACGATTTCCTGTGTCTCTTTCAAGTAATTTAAACTCATTTAAGGACATAGGGACTATATTTGTGCAAGCGTCGGGTACCCTCCGATTCTTGGTTTTGACCAAGATCCTCAAGTATTTAACTAGTCCCTAACATATGGTGGAGACGCCGGTCTTTGTATTTTAATCGAGTTCCGAGGTATACTTTCTATCTTTTTAAGGCACTCATATACAAAGTCGATTCCCCTAAAGTGTACACGAATTACAGTCAGATTATTTAAGTAAAATTTTTTGTTATTAATATTATAATTATTTTTTTTGAATATCAATTACTGTTTGGGCGTAATAATAATTTCTATGATTTTGGTTTTGTTTATAAGTGTATAATTTATAAAAATATGCCACATTTTATCAAATAAACCGTTATCATATTCGGGAGATGTGGAAACAGATATAGATAAAAATCTTAAAAATTTTGATCGCGTAGCGAAAACGAATGAATAGGATGATAATAAATAACTCTCTATGTTACCCTTATATTTACAGGATCATGCACTTAAAATATTTGAATTTATAGAATATCGATCGATAAATTTAACTTGGGAAGATGTTAAACTGTCATTAATTAATTTTAACTCTTACAATAATCTAAATTAAATAAAACAAAAATTTAATAATGATGAATATGACGGATAGTGAATCAGTTAAAAAATATTTAGTAAAAGTAGTAGCAGTATGTCGCAGGTTTGAAGGTATAATGTCGTAAAAACATATAGAGTATTTTTTTAAAGGACTACCAGATGGAAAAATTAATAAATTTATGTCATTGGATAAGAATTGAAAAAAATACAAATTTGAGAAAATACGATAGCGATTTGGAAATTTTGAAAATGGAAATAATTTTAGAAAAACATAATGGTAAATTTAATGATTATGGAAATATAAGTTTCCCGCATGGTGTACCCTTTTTGGGTAACGGGTGTGACAATTCTGCGGACTTAAGTTAACCAATGATAGTGTAGCCTGAAAGGCCTTGAGCAGTCTCAGGTAAGTAGACGGACACTAAGATCTCGTCACTGAAGCATCATCACCACAATGTTTGGCCATTCATTAATGAAGGTTTGACGATGGGCCAACACGCCATCACTCTGAAATAACCTTATTATTAAGAAACTTCTAAACAAGCATCGGACACTGATTAAGGATTACAGAAATGGAAACAGAAATAGAAAAACCATCAGGAATTTACAGATTGGTACTTGGAATATTAGAACTCTCTTTAAATCAGGAGCATTGAAAATAATTAATGATGAGATAGCAAAATATAATTTGCAAATTATAGCATTACAAGAGATGAGATGGCCGGGTAATGGCAGCATCAAACATAAAAAACACAACAATCTTCTACAGTGAATGTGGATATAAGAGACATGAATTCGGAGTCGGCTTTATGATAAACAATAGACTATTAACAAACGTCAGTAGATTCGAAGTCATAAATGAACAAATATGCTTCATCCGCCTAAGAATTAGCGGCCAGAATATAATAATAATTAATTGCCACGCACCGACTGAAGATAAAGACGTAGAAGCCAAAGACGCTTTTTATGAAGAACTGGAAAGGACATATGATTCACTCCCACGATGCGCCATTAAAATAATAATGAGAGACATGAATGCAAAAATATGTATTTACAATTGACAAGGAAAGCATCCACACCGTATCCAATGATAATGCAACGCGTTTTATAAGTTTTGCGATGTGTCCGCGATATCATCATCAGTAGTACCTACTTTCAGAGAAAAGAAATCTACAAACAGACATGGGTCTCCCCGGATGCGACAACAAAAAACAAAAATCGATCACGTTACGATTGATAAATTGCATCGTTCATGGTTTAATAACGTTCGAAGCTATCGAGGGGCAGATGGTGATACTGACCATTACTTGGTAGTAGCGACCCTAATTGAAAAACTATCGGTAAACTGAAAGAGGAATAAAGGTAGGAATAAAACAAATACAAAGATTTAGATAGACTTAAAGATCCAGTAGAAATCAGACAATATAGGACAAGAATAGCTGAAGAACTTCGAAATATAAATTAGAGGGTAGAAAACACAGTAGATAATCATAATATAATGATTTTTTTTTTTAATATAGCGCGACAATCTAAACCCAAGAGGCTAAACTGACTTTATTAAAAGACAATGAAAGAGTAAATATAAATTTTATATTTATTATTATTTTATAATGCAAAATGTGAATATTTAAAATTTCTGGGTATAAACTTAACTTAACCTTTTATACAGTAGAAGTGTATAGCTATTATTTATAATTAGTCCCATAACTAAGCCCATAAATAGAATGTATAGCTAAGATGTATATCTAGTTAGTAAAGCTATTACGTGTAGTTAAAGCTTCACTATTCAGTGAAATATGATTTTGAAAAATCTATTATGGTAACTTTTAAACTACTTGCAAAATATTAGTTGATTCATCAAAATAAATATTTGATTTAATTTTATAAAACCAAATAATTTTAATCGGAGTAAAAACATCTTGAGAACATAATTCAAAAAGAGGTAATCTAAGAGACAGAAATATTTACAAATGAAATGTTTGAAAACGTTTTGAACAATGCATTAAGTTATAAAAAAATCTTTTCATAAATGTTACTCACCCATCAATACCATTCGTGATGAAGTCAATATTATTCGAATAAGAATTAAACACACCTTTTTAATTCGTGTATGCCTTATTTTAAAAATATTAAAGACATATGGTCTTTAGTATTTTATTGTTTTTATTGTTATCTCTGTTTTTGTTTTTGTCTTTATGTTTTTTTAATTATTCATTGAATATAAAAAAAATTATTTCTATAGTTGAATACCAAAAAGAGTGAAGTGCATTTTCGATGTAATTGAAATTAACTGTGTAATTGTACTAACATTCTATTAATTTTTTTGTATTTGTCAAAAATTATGGTAATTATATGCAAACAAATTTTAAAATGTTGAAATTTGAGGAAAAAATTTTCAACTTTTGAGAGAATGTTTTAAACTATATAAGATTTGTGATCCTCTAACATATCGTTAAAAAAAATCAGTTCTGTAAAGCTGACAAAAGCAGTGACAGAACATAAAATTACCATACCTAAGGCATATGCCCTTTATGTCCCTCCCTTTATGCTCCCATATACCATAGACTATATGAAAACACATAGATCACCCGGCCTGATAATAAAACAATACTCTGATTGGCAGCAGTTAAATCAGTGCAACCATTTGTATGAGTGCAAACATTTTTTTAATTTATTTTATTATTAAATATGCTGCAACATTATTATCATGAAATTTCGTATAAAATCACAATCATGGAAATAATTTATTTTAATACATCATTAAATTGAGGTATTAAACCCATAATCCCTCATTTAGCCTAATTTATTACCTTTTCATGGTTAAAAATCCCTAAATTAGTCACGAAAATTAAATAATTCTTAATTTTTATAATGTTAATTATTAACTCTGAGATAAAATTTCTATAGGAGAAAAAACGATCGAAAATTAATTATATCGTCTATTTATAATAAATAACAAAATGAAGAAGAGTGACTTGTTTATTAACCCAGTGGAAACTTTGGATTTTATCAATAGCCATATAAATGAGAAAGTTATTAAAAAAGAAATATTTAATCTAAATATTGCATAAAAAATAAACCTTGAAAATTTAAGAAAATAATAAGGTGGTCGTAAAATCATTTCTGGATGATTTGGCATGGATTGACTCAATAATATTAATTAAAAATTAAAATTTTAAAATTTTCATTTAATTATTTACTATACCTAAAATAATTAAAATTTTATAAAAATATAATACTATTAACAGTTTTAGTATTATTCATAACAATTATTTATTTAATTTTAGACAACGTAATTTTTTAAAGACGACAGGAAATCATAGAATTTTGTTCGAATTTCAACGTCTGAACCTTGGACTTCCCTATTATAGGAGTAAATCGATTGATTAAAGAGACAATGAACTTTTACATAATCAAGTGTTTCGATTATTTAAATTCCATTATCCTATCAAACAATACTCCAAGGAAACTGAAATTAAAAACAAAACAACAATCTGAAAAACGGAAAATTAAAGAAATGGGTAAGACTATTACTCATTTAATCGATCAACTTTCTAGGTATGACACAGTAGAAAATTATATAATACTAAGTAAGAAATATTTATCACTAGCATTAATTACAATTATTAATCTCACATAAATTTGAAGAACAAGAAAAAAGAATGATATCGTTATAATGATAAAAATAAACAATTGCCTTTACATATTCATTTTTTTAGATCCGTGAGTGTACAAATTTTGTTAAATACTTATTCTCTGCCATTCTTCTCCACCTTAGAACGTTTAACTTATAAATTTAAAATTGTAACTGGTATTAATAAAATTATTTTTAATATTCTTTCTTACATTTACAATTTACAATCAAAAACGAATAAATAATGTGTAATTGACTTGATTAATAAACAAATAGCAGCAAATACTTCCAAAAAAGTTAAAACTTAATTCAGATTATACATCATAATGATAATCCAAATGTACTAACCAGAAATTACAGCTTCATATTATAGATAAAACTAATTAAACGTTGACAAAAAATGAATAAAATAACAAACTTTACACAAAACTTCAACTTTCATACAAATTAAACACAATAATATTTGTAATGTCAGATAACATTTATAAAGAAATTTTTATTTAGACGAAACGTTATTTAAAAAAAGTAAGTACACGATCAGTTATAATTAATTATCGTTCAAGTAATGTGAAATTGTACAACGGTCTTCACTGCCGTGACTGCTACCAATCAGTGAGCTTGATTTTTTTCTGTTATTCTCGACCGAGTGTTCTATTTTTTTTTTTCATATAGTCTGTGTTAATACCTTCTCAGTTTCGTATTGAAACTATAATTTGTTTGGATAGCAAAATCATATACTTCCCTAAACTGAACTTTTTATTAGTAGGGACCTAATTGCAGCATTTGAAATCAAAACTACTTATAATAATAATTGAGTTGAGTTGATGTAATTACTATTTTATAATATATTTTGTTTAGTCTATAATTTATACATTAAATAATAATAAAATATTTTTCCCTCCGTACCTAATGATTCTTTGTCCCAATAATTTACTATTTAACAAATATTGGCACTAAAATATTTAAAAACATTTAGTTTCTTACATTTTGATTATATTTTTTCGAAATAGTTTTTGTTTTACGGGAGTAATTTCCTTTTCTTTTTTTTTATTGTATTTAATTTAATCCAGATAATAGATAATTAGCTGTTTCATTTCGTAATATGCGAAAAGTTAAAATAAATGTTACATTAGTTTTACAAAAAGCTATCATATTTTGGTAAAAATAACGTATTCTTACAAAGATTGAAAAATCGTATTTCAAAATTTGAATAATTACGCCAAGATTAGAAAAAATTGCAAAAATCATTATATAAAAATACTGATTTTCAAAAAAATAAAAATGTAGAATTTTTAAGCAACCTAGAAAACTTGTTTGACATTACACATGAAAATGCTTTAAATTTGATCAAAATGAAGAAATGAACATTTTTTGATTGCTTAACCAACTAAAGGTCGTCCTGGTTCAATGATTAATGTCAATGATAATTTGAAATTAAAAATGTAGAAGATAGAGAGAAAGAGACTGAAAAAAATTTGCATACAATGAACTTGAAACTATTATTATATTAGATTGAAAGCATTACTCTAAAATTAAAAACATAAATTATTTTATTGTAAATTGGTTTTAAATTGTTCAAAATAACTTTTTTCTCATACCATTATATATTTTTCGAGAAAAATATAAAAACAACCCCTTAAGTTCAATTTTTAACTCTCCTTCGGCACGTGTAAAAGTTGATAAATTATGACCAAACTTTAAAGGACTTATTTTTTCATATTCAAACAATGCTATTACCACACTATTAATATATATTATAATTATTAGAAGCTCAATATGAGTTTATTAATTACTTACTGTCTAGGGGGAACTGGGTACTGACTACTAGAATGGTTTACTTGTGTATAAGTTAATCTTATATTTTGGGTCGTACTGCACACTTACTGCACATAGACCAACTGAAGTCAGGATAATTAATTTAAATTATACAATTTTTGCACCATAACAATATATATATGGCTAATATTCACATTATTATTTAATTTAAAAAAATATATTTTGCATGGTTACTTTACTTTTTTGTTTATCTTTCTTTCTTAATCCCATAAAATTTCTGACAAATAGAAGCGAAAATATTATAAATATATATACATATATTTCATGACCCAGGGGTCTTATACTGGGTTGCATATAACTTTTAAAAAAGACTAATTATTTCAATTAACATGGATCAATAAAAATTCTTCAGTTTTATGCAATCCAGAATAAGTCAAGTAAAGCGGCCACAAAATCATACGGCAAAAATGTTGGATATACCAGTTGATGGTAAAGATAGTTTTTACTCAGATTATTTTTTGGATATAAAGATCGGCGAGGGCACATTTTCAGACGTGTATAAGTGCGTGGAAAAAAACTATGGTCGTAAAATGGCAGCCAAAATTCTTAAGAATGATTATGGACCCACAATAGACGCTGATACATGGGCTTCTATAAATGAAGTAAACGTAGCTAATATCATCGAGCGACATCCTTTTTTATTGATAGTAGACAGCGCTTATCATGATATTGGCACTGGTCGCATTGTGTTAGTTACCGAATTAATGAAAAACTCTCTGTATGATGTTATTGAGTCTGGTGAATGCCCATTGACTGATAACCGTATTAAAATATACATGTACCAATTGTTGGAAGGCCTCAAGTACTTGCACGAAAATAACATCATTCATCGGGATATAAAACCGGAAAACATATTGCTATGTCATCGCGACTTAAAGATTGGTGATCTGGGTACAGCCGTAACGATGAAAGATGGCCAAAAGTACACCGAGTACGTTTCCACGAGATGGTACAGATCACCAGAATGTTTATTAACACGTGGACATTATGGTACAAAGATGGACATCTGGGCAGCTGGGTGTGTGCTTTATGAAATGGCCACTAGTAAACCACTTTTTGATGGTTCTGACGAGTACGACCAAATGGTGAGAATTGAACAGATATTAGGAAAACCGGATGTCCGATTACTCGAGAAATTTAAGCGACACCAGTCTCATGTGTTCGTTAAACGATATATTTGCGGTAAAGTAATTTTTGGCGATCGGATCAATTCCGGTACTGGTCTTCAGGCCGTATTCCAACCTTATCGACCTGGTTTTGAACTCATCAAAGACATGATTGTTTACGATCCGTCGAAACGGTCTACCGCCGAAAGATTACTCAGAAAACCTTATTTTTTCGAAATGAAAAACACCCAGTACGAGTATAAAGTATTCGAGTTTGAAAGAAGAACAAACAAAACTTCGTCATATAATTGTTTATCGAGTGAAGAAGCTGAGGTGGGTTGACATTTATATTGATTTTAATAACACGTTATTATCATCAATATTGTAACATACTGTGAACCGTTTAAATTATAGATTGTACACATAAAAGTTTTTAAATATTATGAGTATTTAATACTTTTAATATTTAAAAGAATCTAATAATTCTTTTTTTGTATATTTTTATAGAAGAAAGTACCAATTAAACAGTGTAAAATAGATAACAATGAGTGTAAACGACAAGGACCAAACGGAGACGTAAAAACTGATATTCAATTGAAAAAAAGTGCACATAAAGATGATGAACTTGTGTTAAATGATTTACACAAACGAATGGCCGCTGTAAACTTGAACAGTGTAAAAAAATCGGAAAAATCACACACATATCTGCACAAGATTAAATCATATGAGTTGCCAAACAAGCAAATAATGTTGACCAAAATAAACCAAGAAATACTAATAAAACGAAAAAATGTAGTTCCAAAAAATTTTCGCCCACCATTCAAATGATACGCTCTAATTATAATACATAAAATATTTTTTAAGTAACAAGTAAAATGTTAATGCTAATTTACTTAAGTTATATCTTGAATCCTCTCATGTAACTCAGCCATTTACAAAAGTAATTATTTAACATTTCTCAGAAGTATGATATCTCGTGGCTCTTAATTTGACAAAGTATAAATTCATTCAAACTTTACTTTCAAAAATATAACAGTAATGATAATTAGTATTGTCGATTTTAATGAAAACTTAATTAATCAAATACGTTAATTTATACTTGCGTATAATGATTCGTGTGACTGTTAATTGATGTTCAGAAATGACTTGAAGTATAATCGCGAACATGAATCTTCGTGAAAGTACAAAATTTATACAAAAGTATGTTGCAACATTTTTTTGTCAGATATGTATAAAAAAATGTTATATTTAAAAAAAAAATTTATTTTTTATTTTATTTGTTTTTGAAGAAATTTGTCTTTTATTACACTTTTTATAAGAAAGTTAAATCATTCAACAAAATTGACATACAAAAATCAGCAAAATGGTGTTGCGGCACATTAGTGACATGGCATAGTTAAGACAAATATAGATGATATCTTAAAAAATGCTTCAATGCAAATCTGTAATGTATAATTTTTAGAAGGAATTATTGGATTATTTTAAAAGCAACAAAAATTTCTTATTTATATTCTGATTACAAGTTTTATGATTTATAAGTATATACACGAATAAATACTTATATTATAGTACAATACTTATATATTATAGTAATTAAATTTAGTATGAAATTTATATTGAATAATATTGTATTGCAAGTTTTACGGAGAAATTATTAAAATGTATAAAGCTCAAAAAAAATTGTTCTATTAATAATTAGCCACTTTATTACTCTTAAAATAATAATTATTGTAGAAAATTCGTTTTTGTTTTTATTTTAAATATGTCTTGATTTATTAATTATTAAGTTTATTTTTAATTCATCCCTTATACCTTATAAGGGTGTTAACTTTATTTTTTTAAATGACAACATATATATTTAACTAATTTAAAAAATCAAAAAATGATAACTGTTGATATAATTCTTTGGAAGTTATTAGCATTTTAAAATATTGACTAGAGGAGAGGCATGAGTGCTGCTAATTCTATTAGTTATTTGTCAGGTTTTCTTCTCCTTTCCCTAGGTGCAAAATAGTGAATATCTTCCAAAGCAATGGTCCAAATGTTGTTATTGACCAGTTATTATTAATTATCTTAATTAGGTTTTTTTTTCTAATAAAGAGATATAAAGTATTCATTCCGATTACGAGGGATGATTTCCGTATCGTCATTTTTCGTCACTACCTCCACGTTCCGGGAGTGAGTAATTTACGCGCCTGCTGCTTTCCTTGGATGTGGTAGCCGTTTCTCAGACTCCCTCCCCAGAATCGAACCCTGATTTCCCGTTACCCGTAACAACCATGATATTGATAGTAACTACTATCATAACATGAAACTAAAAAGTAAAAAATAAATATAGTTTAAAAAACTAAAAAAACACGCTTTTAAAGTACATCGAACTAAAAAGTTAAAAATAAATTTTAAAATAATTATGAACAAAAAATACTAGTATTATTGTGATAAAAGCGTGGGTGCTTTGTGTCATATTTTTCGTATATTGAGCGCCCGACGCTTTTATCACAATAATACTAGTATTTTTTGTTCATAATTATTTTAAACTTATTTTAAAAATTATTTTTAACTTTTTAGTTCGATGCGCTTTAAAAGCGTGTTTTTTTAGTTTTTTAAACTATATTTTTTATTCATAATTATTTTAATTAACACGCTTATATTAGTTTCACCTGTATGTATGTATGTATGTTTGTAACTCTCCAAACGCCACGCGTTATCGCATATTCCGTCGTCTATTGCCTTGAGACTAGACTGTCATAACGCATTCACCCCACCCCACGCCTCGCTCACCACACGACGGCACACTATTCCTATAAAAATTTATTTTTAGTTATCGTACCCGTACACGCGTCCTTGTCATCAATATTATACAGAGTGTTCAGTAAGTCAGGAAACGGGTATTCTATTGTTTGTAACAATGAGAACAATAGAAACCCGTTTCCTGACTTACTGAACACCCTGTATATTCCTACCGCCGTTTATACCTCAGGTATAACGTTAGTCCGACCCGCCCGCCCACAAAACACGGCTATACCTAGTGCATGATAGTGATGGGTCGTTCACGAACGAACGGGTCTTTTTGAACGGGTCATATCAGTGAACGAGTTGATCCGGATCGCAAAAAAAATAGATATCGTTCATTTCACGCAATATATCGGACACACTGTTTCATGATTCGTTCATTTACTGAACGTTTACCTGCACTTCGGTTAAAACCTATGCCTAACCTTATATTCTTATAATATAAACATTTAAAAAAACAACAACAATCTATTCTTTATAAGTATATACTTATAATGTTTTCTTAAAAAATTAAATAAAAAAATACTTATTGCCAATGAGAGTTTAAAAGCAACACTATTTGGTTTGTGATAAAAACATTTTTATTGTAGGTCTGCAGACTAAATTTTCAAAGTTGTGACATGTTTTTACTAACATAATCATGCAGGTTTAATACAGTTAGATTATTTCAAGTATCCTACTATATTGTTCATTTGAAGAACAATTTTGATTATCAATATACAGAGTGATTTTTTTATCATAACCCACTCAATTACTTACAAAATAATAATAATTTAAACATTTTTTTTTATTATTATCTTTAGTTACACATTATTCTTGAATTACTAAAACCTTANTATCTTTAGTTACACATTATTCTTGAATTATTAACTATGTAATACTTTTTAAGTTCATCCTTTATGCCTGGTAAGGGTGTCAACTTTGTTTTTTTAAATGGTAACACATATTTTTAATTCAATAGTAAATGGCATTTTAATTTTTAATAAAACTTAATTTGTTTATTAAATATAAACATTTTAAGTTTCAAATTTTTGAGTTAATATATAGGTATAATACACAAGGGATTACAAATACAGGTAGCTAATTGATTTTTTATGACATCGATATTAGCAGGTACACAGCATTGTTATTATCAATGAAAGTAAANACAGCATTGTTATTATCAATGATAGTAAAGTACATTGTTGTGAGTTTATAAATACACTAACTGACAATACAAAAAGTATATCTATTGATAGTCATAATTGATAATAAACAATCCGTGACTGTGATAGCAATATCATAAAAAACCAATTAGCTACCTGTATTTATAATCCCTTGTGTATTATACCTATATATTAACTCAAAATGTTGAAACTTTAAATGTTTATATCTAATAAACAAATTAAGTTTTATTAAAAATTCAAATGCCCATTTATTATTGAATTAAAAACTCAAACATTTTATTAAATTAAAAATATGTGTTACCATTTAAAAAAACAAAGTTGACACCCTTACTAGGCATAAGAGATGAACTTAAAAAGTATTACATAGTTAATAATTCAAGAATAATGTGTAACTAAAGATAATAATAAAAAAAAAATTTTTAATTATTATTATTCTGTAAATAATCGAGTGGGTTATGATAAAAAAATCACCCTGTATAGCTATTTATTTCATAAATATTACATTCATATAATTATTTATAAGCGAAAATAGGTCTATGAATTAGTGAATTTAGCAACTAGGACAAAAATTGACTATTAGACTAATATAATTGTTGTGAGAGGTATTAAACCACCTCACTCTTTTATAATCTGGTCATAGCTGCTGTAAATTGTAATATCTGATTTAGGTGAATTAATTTCTCTATAAAACTCCTTTTATGAAAACAAATAATTTAAATGATTTCGCTTATTATAGAAACAAATTCTATGGATTTATGTACCGCAACTCATCCGCTAGTATAAATTATTTGTTTTTATTCTATACAAAAATATTCGTGTATAACAGTATATTATGTTATTTCAAGTAATTTGTATTTGAAAAAATAATATATAACCCGAATATACAAGTGTATTATCAGTAAAAATTCTGATATCACGGTAATGTTACATGGCGAAAATGCGAATTTGAACGACTCGTTCAGGAAAACCATAGTAAGGAGTAATTGATAAGAACCGTGACCGATCGTAAGAAATGAACGAAAGAAGGAGTTATATGAACGGGTCATTTGAACGATCCGATCCAAACGATCCGGATCGTTCGATTGACCCGAAATTCCCATCACTAGTGCATGATACGTTTACGAACTTGGTTGGGTTGGTTTTTTTATTATTAATTATTTATTATAATTAGTTATTATTAATTATCTTAATTAGGTCTTTTTTTATTTTATAAGAGTGGCTATTATTAAAAAAATCACTCTGTATAAACTTTATACATTGTTATAATTTATCCGTAAAACTTATAATACTAAATTATTCCATATAAATTTTATACTAAATTTAATTACTATAATAAGTATTTATTCATGTATATACTTCTAAATCATAAAACTTGTAATTAGAATATAAATGAGTTCTTGTGCTTTTAAAATAATACAATATTCATTTTCAAAAGTTAATTTGAAAAAGTTCTACTCGTATTAAGAATTTAAACCCCTCCTGAATAAATGGAAATGGTCCGATTTACAAAAAAAGTATGTCGGAAGAAAGATATGTAAATAATTTTTTTAGAAACAAAAATTTGTATTGATCCATACATTTTTCAAAAAGTTATAGTAATTTAAAGTTCTAAAAAAATAAAATATGAAATCGAAAATTTTAACACAAAAATAGTGTATTTTTAACTACGGCAACCATTTTCACATACACCCAAAGAAAAACCTCAATCAAAATTGAAAGAGAAATTTTATCAAGGGTTTATGATAATGTTTTATTAATACGAACAAAATAACTATTCTTATAAATAATTATTGTTCAAGACAAGAAAAAAAAATATCATATTGATAAATATATCATTGATTCAATAGTAATGATATATTTATCAAATTG